GGCACGTCCGCTTCCAACACTCCCGCAGGCAGCGATGGTGAAAGCGCCACTACAGCCACGACCAGCAGCAGCCCCAGTGGTGGGAAACACACAGAAGGCAACGCGGACGGCAGCGGCACGCCCACTGTGTGGGTGCGTGGCACGCTGCTGCTGCTGCTGCTGACGGCCGCCCTTGCCTGTGCTGCTGGGGAGTGACTGCTGCGGGGCAACGACACACCCACACACACCCAGGCAGGGCGACGCAGAGTGTTTGTGCGCCGAGTTTGCGTGTCGCCCCTGTGGGCCAACTCCTCTCCTGTGCTTTGAGGGGTACTCCTTTGCTTTTTTTTCTTGCTTTTTGCTTCAGTGGTCGTTTGCTACGCACATCCCAATGGGTGGCGTCCCTTCCCCCTCGTGTTTGCCGCTGCCATCAGCACACGCACGCTGCTGGCTTCGTGGCTGTGCGTCGCACGGAGTGCCCAAACGAGAGACGAGGCCGCGGAGACCGTGCGTGAGGTGCAGCCGTGATGCGTGCAACGAGGCAGTTTTGTTTTTGCTTCTTGCGGGCAATAAATACACCCACACACAGTCCTCTTGTGCTTTCGGACATGTGAAGTGAAAACGCCTGCCGAAGTAATTTATTTATCTTTTTTTTTGTTTTCTCCAGGAATTCTCCTGAGCTTTCGCTTTAATTTTGTTCCTTTTTTTTGTTTGGAGGTGAATCACTGCGGCTGACTTGTCGTTTGTGCCGTGCCCGCCACCGTGTGGCTGCGCGTCGCCGTGTTTTGTTTGCTGCCGCTGCCGGCTGAGTTGGTGACATGCCTTCATTTCTCCTCCTCCTTCCTGCTAGAGGCACCGGTAGTCGAGGAGGAGGATTCCTTTAGTTTCCTGCTGCGATGGCACGGGAGTGACGGGGCGTCCGGCCGCTGCTTCGAAAGCGCCCGCTGCGGAGGGAGAGGATGGGCGGGGTGTGCGGCGTGTCTCGCTGCGGGTGTGTGGGGCGTCACCCATGGCAGCCTGCAGTGCGGTGTGATGCCGGTTGGTGAGGGCAAATATGCAGCAGCGGCAGACTGTGCGGTGGACGTGGATCCGCCCCGTCCTTCGCGTTGCGGGTGTGTGGGTGCGGGGTGCGGCTGGCTTCTCCTCCGCGTGTCTTATGCACTTGCACGGTGAGGGCGTCGTGCGTCGCCTGCGTCTTGCCATCTGCTGCGGTGTGTGTGCGAGGCTCTTTTGTTTTGCTCTTTGCCCCCGCACGTGTGTGTGTGTTTTGGGGTGGACGGTAAATGAGGTGTGCGAGTGTCGATGGTGCGGCAGCGCGCGGT